CTCACTCGGTGTAGGTTAGTGGGTCATAAGTATGACCACCTCATACGCTGGAATCATACCGTCCTTTTCTTTTCATTCTCAATTATATACAAGGGTCCAAAATTATTCCTTAGTTATATTGATAAGTGGAAGATATTCGACGAAAAGGTTTTGATTTTTACCTTTTTCCATTTACCCTCCTTTTCATCCAACTTCAGGGTTGGGGATAAACCGTCGTGTTAGGGGTGGACAAACCTGGAGCAGAGTTGAAATTCAATGCATTTGAAGTTCTTCATTCTGGAAAAAACTATAAAAGGATCAGCTACATATCTAATTATGAGGATGAATAGTTATGTTTTTTAGGTGTAGAGCATATTTGCTATACTTATTTAAATAAGTAACCATACTTAGTGAATGATTTTTATTTGTGTTTTGGTAAATATTTTGGATTCAATGTACATTGATTAATGACACTACATGTTTTAATTAATTTATTGTCTTCTTGCATTTTTATATTATTTTGAACAATGTTAAAAAAATTACTACAATATAAATAAAAATAAAATATATTAAAATAATTTAATTTCTCGCTACGAATTACTTCATAATAACCTACAAATATAATTCTCCGAAAAAAAAAAATTATTTGTAGAGAAAAACAGGATTTAGTTCTCAAAATAATATGTACCATGTTGTTACAAATATTCTTTCCACACAGAAATTTATTTGTAGGGAAAACACGCTTTAGCCTACAACATAACTTGTAGGGAAAAATGAAATCGTTTCGTGGGCATAATTAATTTTAGCAGACAAATGATTTTGTAGGGGGAAAACTTACGCGATGAATTGTATTCGTATCCAAAGGATTCGTAGGAAAAAAATTTGGCTCACAAATTTTTAAAATTTGTTGTCTTTTATCTATTCCCTCGATATTTTCCTATTTACGAGAAGCTTGTTTTATTCCATATATGGGTTTCTTAAACTTGCACACTAAATACTCATCATTATTGGAGGGGTATCCTTCGTTGTTTTATGTACACCTCTTCCTCTGGTTTACCAATAAGGAAATTTTTTTTCACATCCATCTATAGCAATTCAAAATCAAAATGTGCAACTAATGCCAAAATAATGCAAAGAGAATCTTTGTTGGATACACGAGAAAAAGACTCATTGTAGTCAATTCATTCATTTTGAGTAAATTCTTTTACCACAAGTCTTGATTTATATATTTCAATGTTGCCTAATGAATTCTTCTTTGTCCTAAAAACCCATTTATACCCTATAGCCTTTCGCCATTAGGAAACTTGACAAGATCACAAACTCTATTGGGTACCATAGAATTCATTTCATCTTTCATAACATTATGCCATAAATCGGATTTTTTTGCAATCCATGACATGTAAAAACATTTCAAGATCATTTTTAGCTCCAAAACTATTATCCAATCCTTGTAGATACACAACATAGTCATCTGAAATTGCTAATCTTATTTCTCTTGTAGATCTTAATGTTGATTCAACATTTTGCTAAGGGCCATGTTGTCCAACTTGTTATTCAATATGCATTTCGTGAACAACTTGATCTACATAATTATCATCAAAAGGTTGTAGGACTTCATCGACCAATTGTACAACACCCTTTTGAACTTGTGGAGTGTTGAGGACAATAACTAATATTGCACTTGATGTGGAAGGTTGATTTGTTCTAGAGACCGTGTTCTAAAATTCATCACTCATACTGCTTAAGTCATTTTCAAGAAACTTCGTAATTTTTTTATTTCACAATCCTAATGCTGCGAGATGGACGGTAAAATGTGTAACCCTTAGACCTTTCGGCATATCTAATTAAATGTCCACTAATAGTCCTTAGGTCTAATTTCTTCTCTTGTGGATTGTAAACTTGTATTTCAAACGGGCATTCCCCAATGCACATATGACACAAACTCGATTTCCAACCTTTCCAAAGTTCAAATGGGGTCTTTGAGACAGCCTTGGATGGAACTCTGTGCAATATATACATAGCCGTTTTAAGAGCTTTAGTCTGCAAGGATTTAGGAAGGTTGGTGCTATTAAGCATACTCCGTAAAATGTCTAATAATGTTCAATTTCTTCTTTCGAATACGCCATTTTAGTCTAGAGAACCAAGCATACAACATTAGGTAACCATCCCATTCTCTTCAATAAACTTGGCAAACAAACCAAGTACTTGTTCATCCTCAGTGTATCTACCATAATATTCTCCATCTCTATCTGTTCTCTTGATTATTTACTTACTACATTGTTTTTCTACTTCTACCTTAAAAACCTTAAAGGCATCCAATGCTTTACTCTTGTTATAAAGCAGGGAAAGATATGTGTATCGTGAATAATCATCCATAAAGGACATGAAGTATTTTGAATTATCGAGCATCTATGTCTGCACAACGAATATCTGAATGTATGATCTCCAAGATGTCTGTACTCTTGACACCTTCCTTTGATTTATTGTTCTGCTTTCCCTTAATGCAGTCCACACAAATTTCAAAATTAACAAAATCCAAATAATTATATAGAGATATGTCTCAATCTCCGATGCCAAATTTCATAATACAACGTTTATTACTGGAGTGATCATGCATAACGTTATTAGTAGTGCTATGTTGTAAATTAATAGAGAAAATATCATCAAACAAAATACCATTCCCATCAAGATCAATTTTTTAAAAACAAACTAAAAGATGTATGTGAAAAATTAAAGGAAATTCCTAAAGTACAAGTTTTGAAAATGAAATCAAATTTCTAGGAGAACTTGGAACATAGGTCTTTTCCAATTCTAAAGCATAGATATTATTTAAAACTAAGTTGCATATTCTAATAGCCTCCACATGTGAACTTATCTTATTTCTTGATAATATGATTTGCCAACTTCCCACTGGCTTCCTTAAGTTTCGCATACCCTGCAAGGTATTAAAAATATGAATTGTAGCACCAGAATCAATCCACCATATATTATGATTATTATCAACCATATTAGATCCATAACAAACTATGGATATTGATTTACCTTTCCTCTCAAGCTATTCTGAAATTTGGTGCAATCTTTCTTCATGTATTCCTTTTTTTTTAATATAGAAAAATCACTTTTTTTTTAAAAAAAAAAAATCACCTTGGGGCGGTATTTTAACTTTCCCCTTTTGTTTGGTTTGGTTCTCATTCTTCTCTTGGTTTTGGTCATTTTTATGTGTTAACAATAATGCACTCCCACACATTTCCATAACAAGCCTTCCTTCCTCTGAGGCACACATGGTCAAAAGTTTATCGGTAGAACATTTATCCTTATTTGTGTTATGAGATTTTGAAAGATCCATATTGCTGCGGAAGAGTTTCAGCATGTAGTGCACAAGGAAAGATTTAGACATTTCAACCTCAAGAGTTTTTAATTGAGCCGTAATGTCCTTCAGTTGCATGATGTGCTCACGCACACCTCTCACTAGTGAGCCTTAAGGATGAAAACTTCATTGCCAGGGTACTAAAAAGTGCTTTATCTAAAGTCACAATTTGTTCATCAATAGCTTTTAGAATGCCTTGACATCATCATCTGGTCTATAGAACCTCGAATACAAGCATAGATTTTGGTCTTTATGAACATCACATTAAGGCGATTAGATCGCTCTCATTGTTCATAAAGAGCCTTTTCTTATGGAGTGTTGGTTGCCGTAATAGTCGATTTATTTTTTCTGATAGTATAATCAATATCCACACACCCCAGATAAAGGAGAAATCTGCCCTTCCATACCTTATAGTTGTCCCCTTGCAGTTCTTGAGTATCACACTTAAAATCAGAAAAAATCGTAGGTTGCATGGCCAAATAAATTTAAAAAATACATTTTTAAATTACATAATTAGTTTGAGACTATAAACCCATATCATGTTTTACAAATGTAAATCATATTCCAAAAAAATATGAATTTAGTGACATAAAACTTGCTGGTACGCTTCTAATTCAATTAGATCCACCTAACTTTACGATAAGACTATCAAACAATGTTTCTTGTCTTAATTCGTGTGGGTAAATTAAGAAACATAATCTGAAGTCCAGATGTGATCGGGCATTGCTGCTGGTATAACTGATCAAATGGGATTTTTTGCACATTTCCATATTGACAGAAGTATGTTTTTTTGGTAGTTCTTTCGGATGTTGCAGTTCGTATTTTGTTGCTTCAAGTTCAACAACAATAAATTTGAAAAGGATGTCACAGAAGATATACGTCGATACTGAAAATTAGAAACTTAGCTAATTAAACAAAAATAGATATTAATTTATTGGTTACCTTGGTCCAGCTTAGACGGATTATCAAACAAAAAAAATGTTACTGGTTAGTCTGGTTTTCCTTTTGCATCAGCAACATTTTGTTCTCATTTTTGAAACTTTCTACTTGTTGCTTGAGATGAGATATCATTGCCTAAGCACATGCATGATGATTAACAGTGTATAAATTGATATTTCCATTTATAGAGAAGGTACTAAAGGCTTTATCTGATTACTATTTGGCATTTTTTCCAATGCTTGGGAATATTCAAGTATTCTAATTCTGGTTCTCTGGGCAGAAAATTTGATGTATATAATCCTACAAAAAATAATTAAACATGAAAAGTTAAAATGAGAATTACAATTCACAAAACCCTAAACCCTAATCCTTATCCTCTCCTTTTCTCATTCTGGCATCAGTTTCACTTGAAGTGTTTAACGGACTGAAAACTAAGCTAATGAGCGGTAATACATTCATTCTACCTAGAGTGATCTGCTTGTGAAATCTAGCAGATCAATTTGTTAACTGGTATAAAGGCTTCAAAAGATTGTAATGGCTGCAACAACTTTAAAGATTTAGAAAGTTATTGAACAAGTAAAATCCATGACTCCTCCTAAAAATTAAAAAAATATAAAGACAAAAAGAGTAGAATTGATACTTATTATCAAAAGAATGTCGCAATGTGTTTATTCGTGTATTCACCTTCTAAGCTACATGGGATCCATGTCAGGGTCTATTTTATGGCCAAATTTGAGTGCATGTTCAATTGTGGACGCCTAGTGGTAGACCATTGAGATAAAATCCCAAATTTGAAAGTTCCATCCCATGTCTCTGAAATTAGATCCTCACCACTGTTCCCATTCACTGGCATTAGATTAGTTTGCATGGCACTACAGCTCGGCTCCATTCTTAAATTTTGTGTTACCTGCAAAAGTAAAAAGGGAAAACTTAACTAGTAAAAATTAGTAGTAAATTAAGAAAGCAAAAATATGTTTAAGGAGAAAGATGTATAGAAGGACCAACGTCGAAAGGAAGTGTAAGATTGACAACAGAAAGCCTTACCCAAGCCTAAATATATACACTTAACCAACTGTTCAAACTAATTGCCATTTAACTCACTTTTGTATAACTATACTGTTAAGATTTGTGACAAAAATTCTATGTAATTGAGGAGTTTGTTGCCTGTAGGAAGCTCGATTAATTTTGGTTTAGAAGTTCGGTTTGATTAGGATGGTTTCTCACACGATTTTGAACTCCTACCTCATCCATAACTTCGTGATTTGGCTTCTATAAATACTCTATAAGGTATATGCACTTCATAAGGCAATACACAAGAAATTAAGTGACTCTTGAGAGATCATAACAATTTAGATCATTGGTTGTATACATTAGGAACAAGATAGAATTGTTTAGATTAGATTGAGAAGATCAAATCCAGTAAGACAATTATTGGTGTTTTTTGGTATAATAAAATTCTCCTCTTCCACAATATTGTTGGTTGTTGTGTGATCCATTAAAACTTCATATTGCTTATACTCTTCTTCTTTAATTATTTGGGCGTTAGTTTTACAACATATACATTATTTACTTTCTTATTAATTATGTAACATTGCTTTACTTTTCAAATGCAGGCAATTTTTGATAATTTTCCTGAAATTTCCTTTCGATTCCAGCCTTGCAAAAGTAGCGGTCAAATTTGTCATATTAACCCAAGCTTATCTCTAACAACACATCATCAGTATTAATTAATAGAAAAAATACATAATGACAAAAAGCTGTCATTAATGTACAATAGAGAAGATATACACCAGAAAAATGCCTTCAGATTTAAATTTTAAATTAATTAAATTGAATTTTTAAATGCAGGAAAACAAGGGAGAAGAATATAACTATAATTTTTCAAAGGACAAAAGAATAATTACAACTTATACAAAGGTGAAACTGAAAATAAGGAAACAAGATTTTAAAGTAAGCTAATTATTTGTTTAAATACCAATAGAATAATTTATCATTATCATAATATAAAAAACTGACTATATATAATAATTCTAACAAGGTAAACATAGAATAATTGATCGTCGAATTGCATGATGTGATAAACCACGACAACATGATTGGGCTAGTGCGGAACTCATGTGCTTCCAAGTTTCTGTAAGATTGTTTAGCCCCGCTTTGCCACATCAAGAGGCTGGCCTCACTTGAATTTCTTATAAATATTAGGGTTGAAATTTTTCACAAAAAAACTAATCCTTGAATTGGATGAAATGATAAACCAGGTCCACATGTTTGGGGTAGGGCAGAACCTTTGTTGTGCTTCCAAACTTATTGACTAGGCAACTAGCCATGCGTCACCACATCAACAGGCGGACCTCATGACTGGAATTTTCTGTAAATATTTTCATTTTGAACAAAATCTTAGAATTTCAGAAAGTTCTGCTAGATAAACTACACTATAGAGGTATCAAACAAGGCATGGGAATCGAAGAACTTGCTGTCATGGGATGCACAGAATAATTACTGTTCATAATTCTTGAAGTATTTCTACTCGAGCCTAAAAGGTTGTTGCATCCCAATTTAAATATCATATGTACACCTTAACTCTAAATTGAACAAATAAGATTAGTTTGGACATATTTGGTTAAAAGGGAACTAATCGTGCATAATCCTAATATATAACCTAGATTCAAAAAGCTAAACAAGATAAATGTTCCATATTCAATGTACACTATAAAGAATGTGAGTATGCGTGGCTACTAGATATTTGTGGCATGTCGCCTTATGAAATTGTATGTTTGAGTGCGTGAACCATAGATTTCAGTTACTTTCAGTTGGGTTAGCTGAAGGAAATACTATTTGTAGTTAATTGCTGCTTCGTTGAGGTTGTCGCGTGTTAGTTAATTCGCTAAATCATTCCCCTGTACAAACCTAAAAGGGACAACATGTAAACATTTATCCATTCAAACAGTATCAATCTAAGAATTTAAGACTGCAAGGATTATCTCTAGAAAAGGATTGGGAAGTGAACTGTAAAAAGTTCAGGCAGATTGAGATAAAAACTATCTTACAGAAGCCATTATCTTTTAGTACTTCTTTCCATCCCAAACTAGCGGTCAATCAAAAAGGACTATTCAAACTTTCAGAGACATGCTTCCATCCTGTATCTTATTTAAACATTTTGACACAATTAATAATTGGTTCAAATTGTTTGTAGTGTTCATCTTCCTTTAGCCAACCATGTAAAATTTATATATAAGGTGAATTTAGACTGTATCGATTTATTCATCATTTTACGAATTAAGATTAATAATACATAAATTTGATTACAAGTAAAAAATAACTTACAACTATTTGCTTATACGTAAAAATCACTTGTAAGTGAAATATTCATTATATGATTAAAAAAAAATTACTTACCAGGAAAAAGACATTTATAACTACACAATTGTTTATCAGTAAAACAACTTAATATGAGCAAAATTCACTTATCAGTTATAAAAATTACTTTAAGTAGAAAATTCACTTATAAGTAAGAAAATTCAATGATGCATTAAAAAAATAACTTATGAGTAAAAATTCGCTTGCATCTAAAAGCTTATAAAATAAGAATCGTGTATAAGGAAAAATACACTGCTAAATAAAAAATATTTGTATCTATGTAAAAATAATACTTATAACTAAAAGTATTCGCTTATAAGTAATAACATCACTAATACAAAAATTAATGTATAGGCAAGAAAAATTATTTAGAACAAGAAAATACTGTTTTTATTTTTATAATAGTTGTACGTTTTCCTAATATGATGCAATACTAAATGCCGTATTAATACATCCACAGTAATCCAAATTTCAATATTTTCCTCCATGTAACATTGTAAATGTGTTAAAGTAAAAGATAGAAATGTATTCACGTTGGAAAGATGGAAACAAAATTTATACTCATTTGATGCTTAAATAGGAACATATTTTTTTCAAGTGAAAATTGATTATTTCGGAGAATTTGTGGTTGACAATTACTTTGGAAAAATGAGTTTAGAGAAATATGTGTCAAAATAAGATTTTAGTATTATAATCAATACAATGCCATAGGCTAACTTGGTTGGGCACAAATGCACGCGTATGCAACTGTAATCTTGATTGCACCAAGCTCAACTCGGCTTTCTTGTGCACATCATGAAGGTATGTTATAGAGAACACATTACACTTTGTACACACGTCATCACGAAGATCAAACTAAGGGTTTCTAAAGTTTTTGGAATTAAAATTGGCAGCAATGACGTGGAGACATACATAATTAGGTGGGAAATCCTGATTGCATCGAGCTCAACTCGGCCTTCACACATCACAAAGGGCACATTGGTGTATTAGAGAAAACTTCACACGCATGTCATCATTGACAAGCTAAGAGTCTTTAAAATTTTGGAATTAAAATTGGCAACAATGACATGGAGACATACAGTATCTGCGCATATTTGGCGCCGATTACAGGGTAGGGAAGTCCAAAATCGTGGCATCATGGGAATTTGTGGATCAACCATGCTCAATAAATCATCTAAGGGAATGTGATTGTCCATGACTCAGTGATTGGGTTCAGAGAAAAATCGGAATATTTCAAAACAAGTTCTTTCTCGCGCATTGATATGAAACACTGAAGGAAGGTTTTTATTTGACAATAAAATTAAATTACAACTTGCACGACCCATAAACTACTCAGTCCTCAACGCAGAAATTGTAATTAGAAATAGCAGATGCAGAGCCCGATGATATAGACTACAAAGCATAAAATAACAAGAATAAGGAGAAGGGATCTTCAAAATATCATTAATTTAGGACCTTAGATGGATCAGCATTCAGTGCATCAAAATTTAGATATTGATCAGTGTCTGCCAGCTCTATGTTCAATTCGGATGTGGATTGCTGGCAAGATCCATTAATGTTGGAGCTCCACAGATAATTTCTGCCTGATGGTGCAGCACTATATCCTTGCAAGTTTGTATGGCTAGATTGAACATGTCCAGAAGTGCTCGGGCATTGCTGCTGGTATAACGGATCAAATGGTAGTTGTTGCACATTTCCATATTGACAGAAGCCAAGCTGCATGTCTTTGGATATTTCTTTGAGATGTTGTAGTTCGTGTTTCATTGCTTCATGTTCAACTACAATATGAAAAGAAAGACTTCACAGATGATATATATAAGTACAGGAAATTAGAAACTTAGCTAATTAAACAAAATTAGACATATTAATTTCTTGGTTACCCTGGCCCCGCTTAGACTCATTTTCAAAAAATTTAAATTGTCGTTGCAGATTTTCCTTGTGCATCACCAACATTTTGTTCCCATTTTTGCAACTTTCTACTTGCCGTTTGAGATGAGATATCATTGCCTGCGCACAATCATGATGATTTATAGTGTATAAATTGATATTGATATTTCCATTTATGGAGAAGTTACTAAAGGATTCACCTGATTACGATTTACCATTTCCTCCAAAGCTTGAATGTATTCAAGTATTCTCATTCTGGTTCTCTGGGCAGACAGTTTGTTGGATATAATCCTACAAATTAATTAAAAATGAAAAGTTAAATTACAATTCACAAAACCCTAATCTTTACGTTCTCCTTTTCTCATTCTGGAATCAGTTTCGATTAAAGTGCTTCACACATTGACAAAGCAGTTACAGAATGGCTCTCAAGTAATAGGGCTTTCTTTTATTATCGTCTACATCTAATCATAAGTTTATTGACGGGTGTTGCCCAAGTATTGAGGTGGGCACTTGGAGCTACTTTCTGATGGTACACTTGGAGAATATATGAAGCACGAGGTTCAGCTGAATGAAGAATATAATCGATCAACTTGTGTCTACAAGTGGAATATAAATGGTCAACAGTTGAGGACATGCGCAAAAATAAGGGTGATAAATAATAAGGCACCGAAAACTAAACTAGTGCACGGCACCACTGATTTGGACCATAAGCATATACCACCCCTGATCTGCTTGTGAAATCTAAGAGATCCATTTTGTAATTGGTATAAGTGCTTCAATAGATTGTAATGGCCTTTAAAGATTTAGAAAGAAAGTTATTGGAAAAGTGAAATCTATTATGATATCTACCGTACCCCTGCAAAACAAATAAAAATAAAAAGAGTAGAATTTGCAGAAGGTCAAATAAAAAAAAGCATCGGTTGAAAGAGGGGCAGATCTGACCCAGTTAGAAATGCAAAAACAAAAAGAGTATATTATCAAAATTGATATCACCATGTGTTTATTCTTTTATTCACCTTCTAAGCTTCATGGGATCCATGTCGCGATCTATTTTGCGGCCACTTTTGAGTTCGTGTTCAATTGCTTCGTCAAGACTAAAGGTCTTGCGGGTAGCACGTGGACGCCCAGGAGTAGACCATTGAGATAAAATCCCAAATTTGAATGTTCCATCCCAAGTCTCTGAGATTGGATCCTTACCATTGTTTCCCCTCACTGGGATTGAACTAGGTTGCAAGGTACTGTAGCTCGGCTTCATTCTTAAATTTTGTGAATTAATCACAAGGTTTACCTGCAAGAGAAAAATGGGAAAATTTAACTAGTAAAAATTAGTAGTAAATTAAGAAAGGGAAAAGATGTATAGATGGACTAAACCTTGAAAGGAGGTGTAAGATTGACTATAGAAAACCTACCCAAGCCTAAATATATGCACTTAACCGTTCAAATTAATTGCCATTTATCTTACTTTTGTATTAATGTGCATTATTTACTTACTAATTAATTTTCTAAAATTGCTTTATTGTTCAAATGCAGGCAACTTTAGATAAGCTTCCTGAAATTTCCTTTCGATTCCAGCCTTGCAACAGTATAGGTTCATTAACTAACCAATAGAATGGCGAAGTCAATTTTGTCATATTACCCAAGCTTATCTCTAACAACAACATCATCAGTATTAATTAATAGAGAAAAATACATAAAAACAACGAACTGCTGTCACTTAATGTACAGCAGAGAAGATATACATGAGAAAAATGCCTTCCAATTTAAATTTTAAATTTAATTAAATCAAATTTTAGAATGTGGGAAAACAAGAGAGAAAAAATATAACCATAAATTTTTCAAAGGATAAAATAATAATTACAACTTATACAAAGTTTTAAGTGAAAAATAAGGAAACTAAATTTTAAAATAAACTAAATATTTGGTTAGATGCCGATAGATTAATTTTGACACTGATAAATATATATAATTGACAATAGATTTATTCCAACAAAGATAAATATAGAAAAGTTGAGTTGAATTGCATTACATGATAAAACTACGAGAACATGATTGGGGTGGTATGAAACCCTTGTAGCGCTTCAAAACTTTATGTAAGATTGCCAAACACGCTTCGTCACATCAACAGATAGGACCTCACTTGAGTTTTTTATAAATAGGGTTTAAAAAAAAATTAACCTTCGAATTGCATGATGCTGATGCGATAAACCAGGTCCACTTGTTCGGGGTGGTGTGGCATCTTTGTCATGCTTCCAACCTTTTGAAAATTGACTAAGCCATGTATCACCACATCAACAGGTGGATCTCACTGGAGTTTTCTATAAATAGGCTTTTCATTTTGAACAAAATCTGAGAAATTTCAGAAATTTTTCTAGATAACATTTTTTTTATGGATAAACTCAATTATAGAGGTATCAAACAAGGCATGAGAATTGAAGAACTAGGTGCGCGGGGATGCACAGAATAAATATTGTTCATAATTCTTGAAGTATTTCTACTCGAGCCTAAGGTTGTTGAATAGATAATCTAGATTCAAATAGCTAAACAAGGTAAATATTTCATATTCAAGATACACTATAAAGAATGTGAGTATACATGGCTACTAGATAGTTATGGCATGTAGCCTAATGAAATTGTATGTTTGAGCGCGTAAACCATAGATTTCAGCTACTGTCAGCTAAGTTAGTTGGAAGGAAATACTATTTGTATGTAGGGTTATTGCTGCTTCATTGAGGCTAGTGCGTGGTAGTTCATTAGTTAAAACATTCCCCTATATAAACCTAAAACAGACAACGGGTAAATATTTATCCATTAAAATAGTGTCAATCTAAGAATTTAAGACTTCAAGGATTATCTCCAGAAAAGGGTTGGGGCATTGAACTGTGAAAATTAGGCTGAGTGAGATTAAAATCAACTAATCCTGTTGTAAACCATGATCTTTTAGTACCGCTTTCCATTCCCAAACCGATGGACAGTTGAAAAGGACTATTCAAACATTCAAAGACATGCTTTGAGCCTGTATGTTTGACTTCAAGGAAAATAGAAGAAATATCTACCATTGGCAGAATATGCCTATAACAGTAGCCACCCGGCTTCAATGGGAATGGCTCCATTTGAATCTTTATATGGTAGTAACTGTAGGTCATGATTTATTGGATGTAATCGGAGAGAAAAGAATTGTGGAACAGAACTGATTCAATATATGCTCCAGGCGATTTAGGAAATTTTGCAACTGATTAATTACATCACAAGATCGCCCATGAAATATGCTTATCATCGAAGGACATTGGAGTTTGCAATTGGGGATAAATAATTTTCAAAGGTAGCCCCATTGAAGAGGGTTCTAAAGTTTGGTAAGAAAGGGGAGCTTAACCCATATGTATCTGTCCTTTCGAAATGGTGGAAGGAATGGAGCAACAGCTAATCGACTTAACCTACCTGCTTCTATGGACATGATACTTGATGTATCCCATATATCTTCTCTATGAAAATATGTTCATGATGCTTCGACTACCAAATCCTCCTGAGACTTGGCAGCTAATTTGATATACGAAGAACACACAAAACGTCTAAGGAAGCCACATAGGAGCATAAAGATGATGGTCTGCCCTGTGTCCACGCATGAGGAATGTGTGTCGGCACAGAAGCTGCAATGTTTGTGAACATACACACGCCCATTTATTCCATAGATCCCCCTTTTTCTTATGATTTGACTGTAGGAAACCCACTTTCAAGCATTTTAGACGAATTTTAACACAAATTCTACTTTTGTTGACTTCCAATCATTGATTGATGCAGATTCAAATGATCTATTACACTCGACCATAGGTACAAAACCTAGTATTCTTACTTGATTTACATTAGTTTTTGACATTATTACGTAGTTACTATTATGTTATAATTGTGACATGAGCATAGGAATGCTCCTTCAGCATTCATTGTACATTGTCATTCATGTTTGATATTTGTATTATTGATCATCAGTGTGAGTTCCTTTTATAGTTGTTCCGTGCTATCAGTATATGCATAGATACACTTGTTGAGGTTCCTTGATAGCCAACGATAGAATATTATTGAGAATCTGAAACCAGTATACATGTATTGTCAAGAGCTTATCTGGTTCCCCAAGAAGGGGCAGAGCCTAGTAAGGCCCAGCCCACCCTGAACTTCTGGGCTCAATTTTTATTTTTTTTTTAGTTATAGGCTAAGTCCCAGTCTAGAAGAGAAAGCCCAAAATACCAATATATTATACCCAGATGCGCAAGTCCAGCGTCCAGGTCCAACCCTCCCAAATTTAAACCTCGTTCCCTCGTTCCTCAAACAACTTCCTCCTCCATTTCTTCGCATCACACCTGAAGCCTCTGCCTCCGTTCCCCTCCTTTGCCTCCCGGACTCTTCGATCCCATCTTCACAGCCTCCGCCTTGGGTATTATTGAATTGAAATTGTTGAATTGAAATTGTTGAAATCTTTCATATTTATATATACAAATCAATTAATTTCTCTGTACCGTTCAAAGCCTTTGACTTTTCCAATTTCTTGATTGTCTACCGTATGATTCTCCTCCATTTATTTTCTTGAAATTCTTGACTTCTACTTCCGTGGTATCATTTTCGATCGGTTCTTGAATCGATCTATTTTTTCCATTGATTTTTTAATCTTTATTTGTTAAGGAAAATGGTTTCATTTGGCTGATTTTCAGGAATGAAGTTGAAGCGTAGGAGGGCACTTGAAGTGGTCAGTGGAATATTTTTTTTATGTTCCGATCAATCATTTTGTTAATTTTGATGAAGTGGTGTCTTCAAAGTGTTTGCGAGCTGGGAAATGATCGTGAATTACCATTAGTTGGATTTTGAAAAATATGTTTGTTAACGTTTTACTTGTTTTCGTTAAGATTCATTTCGCTCAATTCTAATATGAGGTAGAATTTAGGGTTTATATATTTTAGGGGTAAAATTAATCTATTTGCTGTTTTACCCGTGTCAACTACTTGAGTTTTAAGGTTTTCCCCACCCACTTAAGTTAAAGAGGATTTTGTTATTTCTGATGGAGAGGGTGAAAAACATTTTTGGCTTCTAAATTTGTATTGGCAGTTGATTTCTTCTTAATCTGCTGCAGAAAGTTTCATACTTTCCATTGCATTTCATGGCGTGCTTGTTGTCATGTCAGGAGGCAAGTGTTCATGTTGTCTTGAATCATGCATGTATTTTTATTTTTTATATGAGTTCAGAAATCTAGTTCATGACAAAAACTCAATGTTCAACATTGTACCTACCCTGACAAAAAATCCTGGCTCCGCCCCTATCCCCAAGGATAACAGATAGGAATGTCGAACACTGATTCATTGTGGAATCCAAGTTGTTGTTACAACTAGGATGATCCCACAGGTTCAAGCTATAGAGCACTTATATTTGTTCATATTTACCTTAAGATCATACTATACACTATAACTATAATGTAGCCCTACGTATATGTTACATATTTTGTACTATAGACAGTGGCGGACCCAGCATTCAAGCTCAGGCCAAGCGGACGTTGACCGATCAACGTCGACAATCGGCGATCGCAAGAGCGAGATCGTTTATTAATATTTAATTAAATAATATTAAAATTTACTCAATCACTTGCATTTTCTATTCTATTTTTTTTATTTCTTTAAATTTGAAATTTGATTTAATAAAACCTAACCATTCTTTTGATTATAGGATTTATTTATTTATTTATTTTGAAGAATGGAAATGATTAAATCTGTCGTCACGCATTCAGCTTCAGTAATTATCATTCCATCTTCTCAAATCCTATTTTGGTACGTCGAAACTATGTTCGATTCTGCGCATGTAAAATGTACGTTTTGAGAATATAATTCATGCACATTAGTGTATTTTCCCCTAACACTACCCACTTATCTCACTAATTTCTACTTGTTTATTAACACAATTGCTTACGAACATTTGCCATTGATACTTCTTCTTACTAGTAAACAAATTATATTGCTTTAGTTCTATGTTAATACTTCAATGACAACCTAGATGGAATACACGCTCTTTCACAAAAGGAAATAATAATAATAATAATAATAATAATAATAATAATAATAATAATAATAATAATAATAATAATAATAAGCTTTATCTTAGAATCTTGTCGTCATAATTTCTCATGTAACATGTTGAAACTATGCATATCAAAATGATATCAGATTTACCATTATATTTGGAAAGACAACTGCCACAACTTTAGTTGCAGACAGTGAAATCAACTAGCCTGAATCTGTTAGATAAATACAATATCTCTAAAACGTAAAAGTAGGAAATCATAGCCAAACATAAAGCCATTCAAAAGAATACGAAATACTAACAACACACTCATATATGTCAGCAAACAAAACATTATACATCATATCACATTCATATTACTATTCAATGAGTAAATCATTTGATCAAACATTTGGTTTGCGTTCAAATTTGGTACCGGGATCATCAGTGCTAGGGAAGACCTCAAGAGTCAAGACCAGTGACCATTGCATCTGGTGGACCCCTTCAGCAATCGGCATCGATGCTCCATCTCCTGAACCTTCTTGGACTACCGGAAAATAAAGCCTCAACCGAACCATCCCTCTTATTCCTAACCCAACCCTTTAATCCCAACTCTGTGACATTTTCATTGAGACAGCAACGCACAGGCACATCACAGCAGCAGCAGGGCAGCCAAACTCCAGTCGTCTTCCTCCTCTACGGTTTGTTGGGTTTCAATTATGGAATTAGAGATTTACAATCTTTGAATTGGTTTTGTTTGTGGCTAATGGGTTGCAAATTGGCCCAATGAATTGGGCTTTATTGTTTTTTAAAAAAAAAAGTCCAAACACTGAATTGAAACAAAATAACGAAGGAAAAAAAAATCACGTGGCGCCGACTGCCTTCTTCACTTCTTCCCAGCGGAACTTCAAGCTCCGGGAGGACCCAGCACGGGCGGCCGTGGGGCTGGCCAGGTGCTGGGTCCGCCCCTGACTATAGATGACTCCACATGAAATGATGTTATATGCAACCCTGGAAGCTGAGATGATTCAAGACCTTATCACTATACATTTTTCCTACTCATGGGATCACTTCACTCATTTTTATACCATGATCAACGAAGAAGAACTTGAAACATCTGAGGAATTTAAAGACTTTGTATTTTTTATTACCAATATCCACTACAACAAAAATGTGATTTAGCGACAAAAAAATTTGTAACGTACAAAAAGTTGTCGCAATAAGTGATTGAATGCAACACTTTTTAAAGTTTGTCGCAAAGATTGTAATGAAAAAAAAAAAAGTACTAAAAAAATATATGGCGACATAAAAAGTTGTCGTAATACGTTAAAAGGGGCTACAAGTAATAAATAATGTTGCAAAAAAAATGAAGGAAGTAAGACACCAAAATATTTTTTGGTAGGAAACTTACGGTGACAAACTTTTTTTTTTACAACAAAGTATTTGTGATGCAATAAGATCTACTTTTTACGACAATGAATATTTCTTGCTAGAAATTCTATAAGTGGAGGAAAAATCACTACAAGAAAATTTGCTTTTTTGCCACACAAAAATCATTACTGTGGTCTTTCACAATGTTCACCAAATATGTTGTGGGCTCCGATGTTATCGTAGAGTCGAAGGATACAATAACGTGCAATGCATGTTGCAAAACCCTCAAATGGACATTGATGTTTAGTTTTTACAACATTCTTGACGTTTTACTTTTATTATAGTTTGTAATATTCTTTGCTTATTGTGTTAACTTCTTTTTGCAACGGTCACTATTTTGTTTAGAAGTAAACGTTGTATGGAAATATAAGAACCAAAAAATCATTAGGCAATATAAAAAGTTGTCATAACGTGCAAAAGACGTGACAAATAATAAAGATTGTGCCAAATATATAATGGAAGCAAGGCACCAAAATATTTTTTGGTGGAAAACTTATCACGACAATTTTTTATTTCTTACAACAAAGTGTTTGTGATGTACTAGGTCTATATTTTGTGACAAACTTTTATTTTTTTGCAGCAACCATATATATTTTATTAAAGCTCCCTAACATATTTATAAAACACAATTAGTTTAATTTTTAAATCAATCAAACTCATGTTCAACAAAAAGAATTATCATTATTTTATTTATTTATTTTATTACATTAACCCGTCCAAATTGTTTATACTTTGTAGCCTGCCCATATTTCCGGCCCAATTCTCCAAACCCAAATCCAGACGTTCCACACCTCCCATTGCTGGCCATCGCTTTCTCTAATCACCACCTCTCATCCCCACCCTCATCATCGCCGCATCTCACAGCAAGAAGCTTAAATGGCGTCTAGTGCAGCACTACCGTTTTGGTGGGGCCCGGTGATCCACCAACTTAATTTATTTTTTTTAAACAAAATTTCAGATTTACACTCCATTATCCCATTTTCTCCTCCTACAAAATCCTCTACTGTGAGGAACTTGGAATTTGATACCCCTTTTGCAAAAACCCTCCAACCGCTATTCGGCCTCATAATTCAATTCAGCCTCCATGATTCAGCCTCATAGTTCGATATGGCCTCCGCGATTCAACCTGGTCCGTCCTTGCCGCCAGTCCGCCACGCAGCCCCCCGCCACTCCGCCCATCACCCACCGCCAATAGCCAAGTACTAGTCCAAAGGTGCTTTGCTTTGTGACGTAGCGGAAGATTATAGGAAAGATGAAAACCCTCACAAATATGAGATAAACTCACGAAAGTTTTTATTCAATTCAATAATGTCTGGCTCGAAGGGCTTACAATGGTTTAAATAGCAAAACCCTAGCAAATTTCGGAAAATAAATAATAAAAATAAAAAAAATGATATTTTTCCATAAATGGAAAAATTCGATGACCATTGCATCTGGTGGACCCCTTTGGCAATCGGCGTCGCTGCTCCATCTCCTGAACCTTCTCGGACTACCGGAAAATAAAGCCTCAACCGAACCATCCTCTTATTCCTAACCCAACCCTTTAATCCCAACTCTGTGACATTTTCATTGAGACAACAACACACTGGCACATCACAGCAGCAGCAGGGCAGCCAAACTCCAGTCGTCTTCCTCCTCTACGGTTTGTTGGGTTTCAATTATGGAATTAGGGATTTACAATCTTTGAATTGGTTTTGTTTGTGGCTAATGGGTTGCAAATTGGCCCAATGAATTGGGCCTCATTGTTTAAAAAAAAGGTCCAAACACTGAATTGAAACAAAATAACAAAGGAAAAAAAAAAAATCACCTGGCGTCGGCTGCCTTCTTCACTTCTTCCCAGTGGAACTTCAAGCTTCGGGAGGACCCAGCACGGGCGGCCGTAGGGGCTGGCCAGTTACTGAGTCCGCCCCTAACTATAGATGACTCCACGTGAAATGATGTTATATGCAACCCTGCAAGCTGAGATGATTCAAGACCTTATCACTATACATTTTTCCTACTCATGGGATCACTTCATTCATTTTTATACCATGATCAACGAAGAAGAACTTGAAACATTTGAGGAATTTAAAGACTTTGTATTTTTTATTACCAATATCCACTACAACAAAAATGTGATTTAGCGACAAAAAAATTTGCAACATACAAAAAGTTGTCACAATAAGTGATTTAATGCAACACTTTTTAAAGTTTGTCGCAAAGATTGTAATGAAAAAAAAAAGTACAAAAAAAATATATGGCGACATAAAAAGTTGTCGTAATACGTTAAAAGGGGCGACAAGTAATAAATAATGTTGCAAAAAAAATGAAGGAAGTAAGACACCAAAATATTTTTTGCTAGGAAACTTACGGTGACAAACCTTTTTTTTTTTACAACGAAGTATTTGTGATGCAATAAGATCTACTTTTTACGACAATGAATATTTGTTGCTAGAAATTCTATAAGTGGAGGAAAAATCACTACAAGAAAATTTGCTTTTTTGCCACACAAAAATCATTACTGTGGTCTTTCACAATGTTCACCAATATGTTGCGGGCTCTGATGTTATCGTAGAGTCGAAGGATACAGTAACGTGCAATGCATGTTGCAAAACCCTCAAATGGACATTGATGTTTAGTTTTTGCAACGTTCTTGACGTTTTACTTTTATTATAGTTTGTAATATTCTTTGCTTATTGTGTTAACTTCTTTTTGCAATGGTCACTATTATGTTTAGACCTTTTGCAAACGTTGTTTGGAAATATAAGAACCAAAAAATCATTAGGCAATATAAAAAGTTGTCATAACATGCAAAAGACGTGACAAATAATAAAGATTGTGCCAAATATATAATGGAAGCAAGGCGCCAAAATATTTTTTGGTGGAAAACTTATCACGACAATTTTTTTATTTCTTACAACAAAGTGTTTGTGATGTACTAAGTCTATATTTTGCGACAAACTTTTATTTTTTGCAGCAACCGTATATATTTTATCAAAGTTCCCTAACATATTTATAAAACACAATTAGTTTAATTTTTAAATCAACCAAACTCATGTTCAACAAAAAAAATTATCATTATTTTATTTAGTTTATTTATTTATTTTATTACATTAACCCGTCCAAATTGTTTATTCTTTGTAGCCTGCCCATATTTCCAGCCCAATTCTCCAAACCCAAATCCAGACGTTCCACACCTCCCATTGTTGGTCATCGCTTTCTCTAATCACCACCTCTCATCCCCACCCTCATCATCGCCGTATCTCGCAACAAGAAGCATAAATGGCGTCTAGTGCAGCACTACCGTTTTGGTGGGGCACGGTGGGTCGTGATCCACCAACTTAATTTATTTTTTTTAAAACAAAATTTCAGATTTACACTCCATAATCCCGTTTTCTCCTCCTACAAAATCCTCTACTATGAGGAACTTGGAATTTGATACCCCTTTTGCAAAAAACCCTCCAACCTGGGTATCCACTGCTCGCGGCCGCTATTCGGCCTCATAATTCGTTTCCGCCTCTACGATTCAGCCTCATAGTTCAATATAGCCTCCGCAATTCAACCGGTCCGTCCTTGCCGCCAGTCCGCCACGCAACCCCCCGCCACTCCGCCCATCGCCCACCGCAATAGCCAAGTACTAGTCCAAAGGTCAATTTTGCTTTGCTTTGCCTAAAGTTCAATCATTATTTGATTCTGGAATTTTCAAATTCCGAAATTTATTTGTGATTTGTGAATGTGGATTATGCATTAATCTACTATAAATTCTGATGAGTGCACACTACAACAAAAACTGCCTATGACAACGCGCAAAAAACGTTGCCATAGACTTTTGGCAGCGTTCGGGTGCACGTTGTTGTGTTTGACGTTGCTGTAGAGTTCCAACTTACAGCAACGTGCATTGAACGTTGATGTATGATCTACGGCAACATGCAATGCACGTTGCCATAGGTATTACAACAACGTTGCTGTAGATCCTACAACAACGTGCAGATCGAACGTTGCTGTAGATCCTACGGCAACGTGCAGATGCACGTTGCCATTGATCATACAACAACGTGCAATGCACGTTGCCGTAGGTCATTTTACATTTATTTTTTAATTCTTTTATTTGTACAATGATTTACATAAATCAACCACAAAACAAGATAAAAGACAACAATATCAAATAACTCCAATAATCATCATTAATTGAATTCCAAAATGTAACAATATCAATACAAAATTCAGATCAAAAATTTTGAAACTTCTAAAAATCCAATACATTAAAAAAAAAAAAAAGGAACTACCACAAGGTCAAATGACCCATAACCTGTGGAGTAAAAGCACGTGAACCCATGTCATCTGCACTCTTATTTTGAATCTGTACAATAACACAAAAATAAAAAAGTTATTCTACGTCCTATGACAACGTAAAGCTATGTTATCATATTATATATAATGATAAAGCATAAAAAAGAGTGTTACAATTATTCTCGCAAGGGAACACATATCTTCACAAGTATAAAAAAACACATTTACATGAGCAAGGTAAGTCCAAGTCCAACACCATCGATCCCTGTAAACTCCAAACAATATTTAATATTGCAAAATAGAAAATCAAAAATTGATTTGTAAGGTGATACTAATGAGCTCAATACAATCATTACAGAATATATTACCATCAAACCCATAAGTATTTACGATTAGTTTATTCCATTAAGAAATTACTGCTTATAGTGTTTAGTTCCAAATGAAAACATGAAAGAAATGAGTGAAAAAAACATAATTCTTAGCGGAGAGCTGAGTACCCTCGAGGATAAGTTAAGAAAAAGATGACTTGAGTTGTTGGACGTCTTAGCGGAGACCAAAGAAGCTCCTTCTATAAGAATGATGTGATCTCAGTAGTACAGGTTAGTAGAAAGAGGGGTAGACCAAAACTAACATCACATGTTGTCAAGTGCCTAGTAACTATAAATATTTCACTAGATGTAAAAATGAACCAAAGTGACCCTAAACTTATAGTGAACAAGGGTTAGCTGTTGTTGTACCTATACATGAACCACAAAAGCTGGGTTTAACATACAAAATAACCACAGACGTTTAATTACTTATGATAGATAACCCAAAATTATGAATACAGGCTTTCACTTACTTTTCTCTGAATCGCCAGCTGACCTGCTAGGAGATGGTTGTACTCATCCACAATCTATTGCCACAAGAATAAACTTTAACACGTTAATCCAGCACTCAATACCCACAAGTTGATAGAATAAAGTAGAAAATGCTGCTCATAGATAATAATGATTTTTTGTTTCGAAGCTTTTGATATAGGGGAATGCTCAAAATGATAATTTCAACCATGGGCAGAAGCCCTAATAAAATCTCATCCAAACACACAACTTCTCCAACATCAAAATCACTAAAAGCAGTGTTGAGTGCAGGAACTTAACTCTTCACGACGTCACCGGAGCCAGGGGCGGAGCCAGGATTTCTCCTCAGGTGGGGCACAACTTATCGACGTTGAACGTCGAATTTTTGTCATGGATGAAATGATAATAAAAGTACAAAACAATAATACGACAATATTAAAAATGACATAATTTATAAATTACACTTGTTCCTTTCGAGTTTTCATATTTTGATACCCAAATACCCAAACAATACCCAAATTTTAGCAATTTCAACTCAACAACGGGACAACACCCAAATTTCAACAATACCCAATTTCAACCTACAACAATACCCAATTTTTACTCAGAAGTCAGCAATACCCAAATTTCAACCATACCCAATTTCCATTTCAACAGAGTCTACTCTACTGACTAGCTACTACCTACTGCAATTTCAATTTCAATTTTCAACCATACCCAATTTCCATTTCAACCATACTCAGCAATCTCTACTCTACTGCACATAGCAAACAACAATACCAAAAACATAGTATTAATTAAAAGAACAATTTCAGATTTTCGGTCTCAAGACTGCTATCGCCAAATGCCAATAATCCAATTATCCAAATATCAAATTACTAAAGCCTAAAGAAAATACCTGGCAGAGTGGCAGTCAATAGAGGCGGAGGCTGGAGGTGGTCGGTGGAGGAGGAGAGAAGAGGAGACGACTGCGACGAGAACAGAAGAGGTTGGAAGTCTGCAATGGAGGCGATTGTGGACTGGCGTTAGTGGCGTGGACTAGGATGGAGTTGTTGAGGCTGAGACTGAGAGGAACGACTGTCGGGAAATGGAGGCTTCGACTTGTCGGAGGTGGAGGCTTCACTGAAGTGGAGGCTGAGAGGCGAGAGCAGAGGAGTCAATTTTGATTTTGTTGAGGAGAGGATCGAATTCGTTTGGCTTTGGCTTGAGGAAGGAAATGAAATAGGTTATAATGTTTGGGCTTTCTCCCTTAGGTTGGGCTGGCTGCTGGACTTAAACTTTAAAAAAAAAAAAGTAACAGCAACGTGCACTGCACGTTGCTAAAATATTAATGGAAACATGCAATGAGCGCGCGTTGCTAAAACTATTAATAACAACATGCAATGAACGTTGCTAAAAGGTTAATGACAACGTTCATATGAACATTGCTAAAACTATTAATGGCAACGTGCAATGAACGCGCGTTGCTAAAACTATTAATAACAACGTGTAATGAACATTGCTAAAAGGTTAATGACAACATTCATATGAACGTTGCTAAAATTATTAATAACAACGTGCAATGAACATTGCTAAAAGGTTAATGGCAACATTCATATGCACGTTGCTAAAACATCTAATGGCAACGTGCAATGCACGTTGCTAAAATTAATCTACGACAACGCGCATTGCACGTTGCAAAAGGACTGCGAACGTTGCAAAAATGGTATATTAGCAACATTCATTTAAAAAGGGTTGTCAAAACTCAATTTTGTCAACCAATAGCAACATACACTTGCTGAATGTTGCCATAGACCCTTTTTAGCAACATGCAATTGACGAAAAAGTTGTCTTTTGCATGTTGCAAAAGGCCTTTTTTCTTGTAGTGGCAGATTATATATAAATTAAAGAGAAATTCTTTTCTTTAGGAATTGGGTGATAGAGGAACTGGGAAAAGAATGAATACTAGGCATAAAATGTTGTGAATGCTGAGAATACCGAAAATGATGCTTCCATGAGCAAAACTAATTTTACATAAATTTCACTGAAATAATTCCCCATTTCTTACGCTTAGGCATATATTCTGTTGAGTTCGTTTTTCTTTCAAATAAAGAAATTAAGGTTGGAAGACATTGTGAACAGTATAATGTCTGTTTCTCTAGACTAATCTATCAGAACACATTCAGCAATCAGCATACATTTAGTGCTGGATTGGGTTTCATTAAGAAAGCTTGACGAATACCATTAGTTATGTGAAATGCCTAAATCTCATTGAAATTTCTAAAATATGTGGAGGACCTTGGCTTCCTGCCTCTCCTCTTGTAGTAATAATTTCTACACCCACATTTAGTGCCTATGACAACTCATGTAACTAATAAACTTGGAAAAATAGAAAGATGGTATTTTGAGACTTGGAGTGAAAAAGCAAAAAAATCATTGTTCTTTGAGATTGCAATCTGGTAACCGTTGTGATGCTTTCTACCTAGTTTTGTTTATTAATATTACACCACTTTATATTCTACTTGCTTTCTTTTTGGTTTGTTAGTGAGCATCCTATTTTTTCTGCTAAGATTGGTTGCAAAAAAAGGTGCAACAAATAGGAAAAACCATGCATAGTTTACTGTTTTTTAGTGTTTATTTTTGCTATATGTGGGCTTTGTGGTTCTCCTAGCCCATTGGGCTGACCCGGTTTGTACTACTTTTGATTTTAGCCTTTGGATAAATTGGATGGTTATGATGAATTCTTGGCAAGATATTTTTGGCTTGACTCTTGGTACTATCTCACGTGGGTTTTGGCTTCTGCAATACGATATCCACACACTCTCTCTCGTTTTCTCTCTGGTCCTTTGGAGCCCTTTCTTCCTCTTGTTGGGCGAAAATCTCGCAAGCGTACGAGTTGGTTGTACAAGTAATAATTGTGATGAGTGAGTTATCGTCCCACGAGGAATAAGGTTAATTTTAGTGTATTCGATATATTTAAATTCGCAAGTGTAACAAAAGATAGTTGGTTTGAATTTAACTACGTTTTATAACTACGAAATCAATAAAAAAATGTATTTAAATCAAATGTGGGGGAGTGTATTGGATTTCCGACTCCGCTAATTAATTCTTAGTTTCAATTCTCAACCAGTTATAATTAATTCAATTCATGCAATTGCGACGATCGATAATTCCACTTTCATTTACTATTCTTTCCCAAGATATAATAAACCTATGATTGCCACGAGACGATCCTATTCCTAGTCCGAATTCATATGACAAGCATGCATTGATGTTTAGGATTATCAAACATGACCGCACACGCCATAAATATTATCCCTAATATTTATTGTCCGTGTGTTCCATAAACAGTGTTCTACCTACCGTGAGTTTTCCAACACTACGAATAAGCAACTAATTGTCCTAATGGTGCGCAAACATTAAAACAATAAATTCATACATGTTTATGAAATCATAAAGCAAGAATTAAATTAAAAACACGTGGTCTCGAATTATAAAAACTAATAATCAAATAGCTTCATCATCCATCCAATACAAGGGAATTTAGCCTAACATATTGTAGAAATTAAATTACACAAGAATAATTGGAAAAATATCACCCGGAAATAAGAAAGATGGAAGAAGTTGGAAAAATCCACGTTCTTGATGTGAAACTTGAATCCGGATGAAGAATTTTCAATATCCTATGCAATTCGCCTTGATTCCACGTTGTTAGCCACGTTCTTCGCCTCCAAAATATGTATAATATAGAGATTTTTAGGTCTAGGGAGGTTCTCCATATGTATTCTGCTGTTCTCTCTTTATAGGAGCCGAAAATTGGTTGAAAATCACGTCCAAATTGGTTTCCAAAAGAGTTCTAATCGAATAAGGAAAGTTGCCTTCGCGCGCGGATTTTTTGTCTCTGCACAGCAGTCCGTATTTTAGTCATAACTTTCTCTTCTGATATCCGATTGATGCGATTCAAAGTGCGTTGGAAAGATAACTTAAAGGGCTACAACTTTGATTGAAATAGAGTTTTTCCAATTCGGACGTTTACTTTGCCAAAAATGGGTCTCAATATTCGGCTAAAAATCTGGAATATATCTTGAGCGATTGGAAATTGATTTTGATAATACTTTGATCATATTCCATTCCTTTTTGAATTCTAATTTCAATCCAATTGTCTCCTAATAATCTTCAAAGTATCTTCTTGAGTATTTGTAATTTGATCCTCGAACTTTGGATTTTACCATTTTTCACCATATTTTGCTTCTTTTCTCCAATTCTTCATTAAACATAAAGTTTTACCTACACAATGCAATATAACATAAATTATGTAAAATTTTGTCAAAAAATCAATAAAAGTCTATAGTTTTAAGCCCCGAATAAGTGTCGAAAATACACTTATCACCTCTCCTTCTGGGGGTTCCCAAATTAACCGGTTAACCCATTGATTGATGAAACTACCAGTGTATTCTTATGCCTGAAATAAGTGGCTAAGGGGTTGGGTTTCTCTGGGGTTCGGTAGGTCAGATTTTGGGGGTGTGATTCCTTGGCTTTTTTGGTAGATCTTTCGGTCGATGATCCAAGCCAAGTGAGGAGGGTTCTTTACCGGTTCTTGCACTCTCTATGGACGGCGATTTGCAAGCATTGGAGGCTGTTTCTGAGCCTAGATGATTCAGCCAATTCCAAGGGAAGAAGAAAGTTGCTCGGCCATGAGGACGGGAAGTAGATTTCTGTTTTTTGGTTTCTTTTTCTTGTCTGGCCTATGGTATCTTTGTACTGGTGATTTTTCTGTATGCTATACTTGGTTGGATATTTAGATTGCATGTTGAACATTGAGGTTGTGTGATTGGATATTGATCTCTGTCATTGCTTGGTTTGATCTGGTGAAATCTGTCAGCCACGTTTTAGAGCCTATATTATGCTATGTTAATTCCTAACACTATAGCATATAAAATATACTCAAGCAAATTTTCTGTCTTGATGCAGTGAGGTCCCAGATAAAAGCTATGGTTGAGGGTATTCAGCATTTACTCACAAACGTTCATGATGGCGGTTTGCTTAAGGAAGTTGACAATTTAACTAAAAACCAAATGAACGACTTTAATTAATATAATGTTTCAGAGGAGTTAACGTAGATTACTTCGATATTTAGCGTACGGATAAAAGTGTGGCCATTTAATTTGTGTTGGACACATTTCTTTTGGATTAATGTTCAACTTGATCTGTTTTGGATTGATTTTACACATTAATGCCCATTGAATTTAGATTGATTTTACACATTGAATTTGTGTTGGACACATTGATTTTGGATGAAAGCAACATTCATTTGATGCCTTTCGCAACGCACTTTGCACGTTATTATATCTTTCTACCCTAGGCAACATCGAAGCCCGTAACATACACCTTAACGTTACGGAAGGTCTTTTACAATGTTTGTAGTGTATACTCTTAAAATAGTATTTGCAACAAATATTTTTCTCGCAAAAACTTTAGTGGAATAATCATCGCGAAAAATTGATTTGTCGCCTTTTTTAATTTTTTGCGACATATATGTATTGCGACGATATTATAGCGACAATTATTTTGTTGCTATTTCGTACTTTTTGCATCGAACAAAAAATGTTGCAAGTTTGTCAATGCGACGAATGATCGAAAGTTGTCACAAAATACATTATGTGACTCATATAGCGCGACAATCCCCGCAACAAACATATTATTGTCGCGAAATAATTTTTGCAACAAAATCTCTATTTAAATTTTGAATCAATTTCGATATTTTTTTGTAGTGATCTGTGAGGGGTTGTTTTGATCACACTAACATATATGCGAGTTGACTAGCTACTATTTTTGTTAGGATGTAAAATAGCATTATTGTACAAATGTTGGATGCTCAGATAGTGTGTGGTAGCTAGTATAGCTCACGCACACCACCACACTAGCCCAATTTGATCTGCCCTTGAATGATTTAGTAAAATAGAGCATTTTTTGCTTGATATAAAAACCGGCTGTTTCCAAAATTTTCAGATCAAAACAGAATATTTTGTATTATTATAAATATAGTTATTAATATTGAGAAAATCTAAATAATAATATTTTAAATAAATAGAAAAATAGTAAAAGGAGTTTCGGGTGTCTCTGGTGGATTATGATGGGTTGTTTTTTATGATGTAGGTAGTTATGTTGCATTAGATAAACGTACAAGTTTTGAAAAATAAAAAATAATATAACAATATTTTGGTTATTTATAATTAATATTTTTTTGCAATGATTGGCGGCATACTATGTTAAGTAAATTCCCAACATGATGTAGGTAGTTATGTTGCATTAGATAAACGTACAAGTTTTGAAAAATAAAAAATAATATAACAATATTTTGGTTATTTATAATTAATATTTTTTTGCAATGATTGGCGGCATACAAGAAGATCAAATACAATAGTAATCGACTTTGTGTTAATTGTTAATAAAAATACAAATAAAATGGTGAACAAAACTAAAAAGGAAAGATTTTTATTTTAAAAATCAAGTTTTCATTTGTTGGTCAAAAGGATAGAAGAAATAAATGGAATTCATGTTTATTCATGCACATAAATACAAAAAGGAGTAAGAAAATAAAGCAAACAAATATAGAAAACTCATTTACAATAAGTGAAAGAAAAACACAATTATGTTCGAGTTTACTAAAAAAAAATTGAAAAACACATTGTTATGGTTGGTGTCATCTTTTTTGAACATTTTGCACAATTTTCATAATGAATAGTTATGTTTTTGACGAAATTTGTGCATTAAAAAAGGAAATAATTTTTTTTTTAGATTTTGGAATTGAAAATGAAGGAATCATTTAGGTTTGAAATATTAGGTTATGTATTTAAATAGTATTTTATCAACTGCGCTCTCCGAAAAATTAATGTCTGCAAGATTTAGTATTATTTGTTTTGAAATCCTAGCATGATTGGCTAATCTTATAAGTTATAAGTTGCTTTAAGCATCTTATTTGAACCACATTAATTAAAACTAGCTAGTCGAACATGTAGCATCTGGTAATACTCTTTTAAACTTACATTTTATAATTTAGTCCAGATCAGTTTAACTTTTTAGTTATAATATATAAAATGGGAAGTCGTAAAAGCTATTAATTTCACTATATGAATGGCAACGGGACGGAAAGGCCATCCCCATTCCTGTCCAATTGAAGATTTTTTAGAGGCGGAACGAGTATCCTATTTCACTATGTGAAATTATGCACGCGAGACGCCAGTTGTTTATTAAGGATGAGAAAGTTGAGCTACAGGCAAAGGCCTCTCTATCACAAGACATTAAGGAGTTTTGGTTGCTGTGCAATGTGGAATAGTCTTCTTCATCAACTTTGTGATGCAGCTTTCAACGTGCTCTTCTCGATACTCACTCACGCACACTCAGTACACAGGCAGTATGCATGTCTCTCTTCTTCAGTACTGTTTCTCATGCATGTTCCCTTCTGGGTTCTGCATATTAAATAATTTTGTATCTAAAGCTACTGGCACCCCACCTCCATATCTCGCTGTCCTCCTTTGCCCCAGAAGGACAAAAATAAAAATAAGAGATATTTCAAGAGAAGAGTAATGCTATTTGCAATAGTTCATTATCGTAGTCGCACTGCGTGGCATAAATGTGGCGATTGCTGATTTGATGCATGAGGCAATAAAAAACTACCACATTAATGTATCAAATCACTAACCGCCACATATAGCCATGTAGGACAACTACGGTAGTAAGCGACTGCAAATAATATTATTCTTAAGAAAAACATAGCATTCAGATTCTCTCTCGTACTCATATCTTGTAACTGAAGTGTTGCACTTTGTTAGGAGAAGATAATAACCGATATTACTTTTTTCGCTGTAAATTCAATCACTCGTTTTTCATTGGGAAAAAAGGGGGATCATCTTGGCTGACGGCAGTAAAAAGAGCATTCAGAACTCCTGTTAAAGACAGTGAAAAGAGGAACAACAGAAACCGAAATGAACAAGAAGAGATCGAAGCAAAGGTAACTTTAGTTACACTATGCACATCTGTAATAGTCAATCTATTGATTTGTTGCCTTCAATGAACAAATTGCTTTAATTTTTTTTTTATGCAGAAGAGGGAAAAACGTTGGTGGCTTTTCCGGAAGCAAAATCACCAGGGGATTAATGCAACGCCACCTAAATGGAGCAATGCTGCCGGTGCTGCACCTGCAGTGACCAGTTATTTGGAAGTTGCTGCTATTCATGATGAAAGGCATGTCATTGCTATGGCAATGGCAACCCCAGCAGCTGCTGATGCTGCAGTTGTCACAGCCCAAGCAGTATCTGAAGTTGCAAGGTTTTCGAGGCCTCGCACAAATTACGCAAAGCAGCGTTGTGCTGCCATTGTCATTCAAACAGCTTTCAGAGGATATCTGGTGAGTCAATTATGTATAGATCTAATTGTTATTTCCATAGTTTGAATAGTATACAAAGAACTCTTCCAGATATGATGTAGATACATTGGAGTCCACATTTGCTTGAATTGATAGGTAAGAGGAAAACTGATTCATTAATTTGTGTCTAAGGGCAAAGATAGTCAATCCTCTATCTTGTCAAATATATGAAACTCGTAATGTCACATTGATATAGGCATGGCCAAGTTAGGAAGGGGCTAATGTATTGGGTTGTTACTTATATATGTGATGCAGCACGAAACAAACAATTAAAACGATAACCTTAAGAACCCAAATCGGGAATCCACCAGAGAATGAAAGACAAAATCACGAAGTTTTATTAATTCCAAGATAATAAAAAAACAATGAATTAACCCTTTATGTATAAGGGTTTAAACAAAAACCTAGCCTAAACGAAGTAAAATTGTAAAGAAATCGAAATAAATTAAATGACAAAAATAGTGCTAAAGCTTAAAAAGCAGTTTTCGAGTCCTAAACAAACTCATATGGCTAAAATCCGCCATACATCATGGAAAAGCATAAGTTTAGCCCGTCTCGTCGTTCTCTTTCCGAAAAGGTATCATGGGCTCGAACGCCAAATCTACAATTTACTATTTTTCCCTTTTCGGTTCAATTGTTCCTTAATCCATTCGGTCATCTTGTAAAATTGCAAGCTTTAGTAAGGGATCACAATGTCCGGAAGCAAGCGAAGATGACCCTAAGATGCATGCAAGCTCTTGTTCGAGTGCAGGCTCGGGTACTTCACCAACGCACATGGCAAACTAGTGAAGGAAGCAGAATGTTGACATTTAGCGACACTAATAGTGTGTTGGAATCACGGTTTCTCCAAGAAATGTCTCTCTGACAGAAGATCAAAAAGGGCAGAATTTTCCTGTGCATCAATTTTTTATATTTAAATTTTTGTTAGTTTAATTTGATATATAGTCATGTACCTTTTTCGATGGAAACTGATGAACGTCCGCATACCATAAACGAGGTGAAAGCAATGCTACAGAATAGAAAAGAAGCTGCCCTGAAGCGCGAAAGAAATTTATCACACGCCTTGCCTAAACAGGTACTAGTAAACATTTATATCTATAATATCTTTATCCTGTTTATGTTGAATCTTATTATTGTTGCCTTGAAGCATTTTTGTCCCTCGACGAGAAATACCATTTGGTATCAGAAAATGCATATCATCATTTACCAGCAACATCATCAGCCTACGTGGAAGATGACTTGGAAGGAAGCAAGCTGGAATCAACAGATCAGAAGGATCTAGAATAAAGATGAAAAACCGATCCAACCTGCTGGGAGACAATTCTGTTGTAGGCACATGTTTAGATTCCTTTTCTGTATAGCATTTTGTATAGCATTTCTTCTCTTTCCTCCAGTCTGTTGTAACCATATTGGTAGAGGATATTCCTTTTGCTTCATGGTTAAATAGTGGACGCCTTTAGATTGTAAATCATCAAGTTTGGAATGCAATAAAGAATTCCTTCAAATCCTGAATTGTGTTTATTTTCATTTCTAAAATTTAAGCCAATTCTTATATGGTATAAGAGCTTTAATGGCAGAAACTGATTCCACAAATCCAAATGTTACTCTTAACCCTTCCCAAAATTCCAATATCAATCCCAGCTCCTCTGCTGAAACGGGAGCAACACCTTATGACCCCACATTGCCAAGTAGTCCTTACTACATTGGCAGCAACGATGGCAGTGGTGCCACACTAGTTACTCACCAGCTTGATGCAAACAACTATTATTCCTGGGCAAGGTCCATGAAGAGAGCACTTAGGATCAAGAACAAGTTGGGTTTCATTGACGGCACTATTTGTGAGCCAACTGATCCGAATGATCCTCTGGTAGAACATTGGCTGCGTTGCAACGACATTGTGATCACTTGGCTCCAAAACACCATGGCTATAGACATTAAGTGCAGCACTGTCTATGCCGAGACAGCCCATCAATTATGGATTGAGCTAGAACAACGATTTTCACAGCAAAATGCTCCAAGAATTTTTGAGATCAAACAGGACATAGCAGCACTACTTCAAAATCAGGATGCTGTAAATGTCTACTTCTCCAAGCTTAAAACTCTCTTGGATGAATTGATGAATTATGAATCAATACCAAATTGCTCTTGTGGTGGATTAAAGACTGTGATTAGCAACCAGCAGAGAGATTGGGTCATGAAATTCTTAATGGGATTGAATGATTCCTACAAAGCACTTAAGGCTCAAATTCTGTTAATCAAGCCATTCCCAAGCCTAAATGAGGTATATGCAATCATACAACAAGAAGAAAAGAGAAGACAAATTTCTTCTGATAGTGTTGTGGTAACTGATTCTATGGCACTTGTATCAAAAGGAAACTTTAGAGATGGGGGAAGGAGTTCATTTGGGCAAAGGAAAGACAGATATTACTGCAGCCATTGTAAAATGGCTGGTCACTCCCTTGAGAGGTGCCTCAAGGTGAACTCAAACAAATCGATCTGTACTTACTGTCAGATGCCAGGCCACACCGTGGATAAGTGCTACAAGTTGAATGGCTATCCACCAAGCCACAGATCTGAAAATCGAAATAAGAACACATCATCCTTTGCAAATCAGTCTGCTGCCTTTTCATGTACTGGCCAAGAGCAGGTAAGTGATAAGGCTCAAATGTCTTTAACTCAAGACCAATATGTTCAGCTTATGGCTTTGCTTAAACCACAAACCTCCCAAAGCTACTTACCATCAGCAAACCAGTCTCATTCCATCATCTCATCTCACTCCAATGAAGACAGCATGCCAAAGATTTCTGGAATACCCTTATGCTCTACTGCTCATACCACTAAGATAATTAACTCTTCAGCTGTGCCTTGGATCTTAGATACAGGGACAACAAATCATATGATCTGCTCTGCATCCCTATTTACCAAAATCAGATATGAGGCTTCCTATTCAATTGCTCTTCCTAACGGTGATATTGTTCCAGTCACTCATGTTGGAACGGTTAAATTTTCAGAGTCATTAATACTTGAAAATGTGCTTTGTGTGCCTTCATTTTCCTTCAATCTTATATCAGCCAGAAAAATAGCACACACCATGAATTCTTGTCTCATTTTCTTCTCTGATTTTTGCTTCATACAGGACCTTTTAACTTGGACAACGACTGGAATGGGTGAAGTTAAGCAAGGCTTGTATCATCTACTACAACATGAAATTTCTCCACATGCCTTAACAGAAAAACTAGCTGATTCCATGCCCAAGATGCCCATGTCTGCTTCCATTATAGCTGATCATACTGATGACTTTGACCTTTGGCACTATAGGTTAGGACATTCTAGTAACACCAAAATTCAAAATCGTACCTCCAAAGCCGCAAAAACTCCATGTCTGATCTGCCCTCTGGCCAAACTGCAGAAATTGCCATTTCCCCTTAGCCAACATAAATCCCAGAAGTGTTTTGATCTGATACACTGTGATCTATGGGGACCATGTAATGAGATCAGTTATGAAGGTTTCCGATATTTTTTAACTATAGTGGATGATTTCAGTAGATGTACTTGGGTATATGCCTTGAAATTAAAATCTGATGCCAGTACTAGTTTGCAAAGTTTTTATTCCATGATTGAAACTCAATTTGAAGCTAAAATTAAAGTCATCAGATCTGATAATGGTGGGGAATTTGACCTAAAACAATTTTACACTCAAAAGGGAATCATTCATCAAAAGACATGTGTAGAAACGCCTCAACAAAACTCCATCGTCGAAAGAAAACACCAACATATCTTAAATGTGGCCAAAGCTTTAAGATTTCAGAGTGGGTTACCATTGAAATTTTGGAGTGACTGCATTTTTACTGCTGTATACCTTATAAACAGAACCCCCACTCCACTGTTGGACCATAAAACTCCTTTTGAAAAACTCTTCCAGTCCCAACCAAATTACAGTCATCTTAGAGTATTCGGTTGCCTCGCTTTTGCCACCACGTTGATAAATGGGAGGCATAAATTCGATTCTAGAGCAAGGAAGTGCATATTCTTAGGATACCCCTTTGGAATCAAAGGATACAAACTGATGGACTTGGAGACAAGGAAAACTTTTACATCTAGAAATGTGATTTTTCACGAAAATATCTTTCCTTTCAAACAAGGTTCTGGTAATCCTTCACCTGAAAATTTCATCTCCCAAACTCCCATTGTTACCATTTCAGAAAATTCTGAACCAATTTTTGATCATCACAATTACTCAAATTCGATTCCCACCAGTCTTGAAGTTAGTTTTCATCAAATCAATGAACCAAGTAATCCTTTCCCAGACATCACAGATAATCCAGCCCCTTCACCTCAAACAAGTCTTAACTTTTCTCATCCTTCAGATAACTCACAGGACAATATGGAGACTAACCAAAATCAGTCCTTGAATGAACTTTCTCTTCGAAGATCAAGCAGAATTAAGAAAACTCCTGCACATCTGCAAGATTTTGTTTGCCAACAGGCTGCTGCACTTCCCCATTCACAGGACTTGGCCAAGAGAAAGGTCAGCATCCTACCAGGTAAACCTTTCCCTCTAAAAGCTACTTTGTCCTACCATAGATTATCCACATCTCACAAAGCTTATGTAGCCACCATCAGCACACACACAGAACCAAAGAACTTCAGGGAAGCTTTAGAATCACCTGAGTGGTGCAATGCCATGAGAGCTGAAATAGATGCTCTTGAACTTAATGACACTTGGACCATCACAGACCTGCCACCTGGCAAAGAGGCTATAGGTTGCAAATGGGTATACAAGATCAAGTACAATGCAAATGGAAGCATAGAAAGATACAAAGCCAGGCTAGTTGCAAAGGGCTACACACAACAAGAGGGGCTTGACTACCATGAAACATTTTCCCCAGTGGCAAAGATGGTTACGGTTAGAACCTTACTAGCAATGGCAGCCATTAAAGGATGGCATCTATACCAATTTGACGTGAACAATGCTTTCTTACATGGCGATCTAGAAGAAGAGGTTTATATGCAGCTCCCTCCAGGACACCCAAATGACAGCAGATCAAAAGTTTGTAGACTAAAGAAAAGTCTATATGGCCTAAAGCAAGCATCCAGGCAATGGTATTCCAAGTTATCTAATTTCATCATTGAACAAGGATACACGCAATCAAGAGCGGATTATAGCCTATTCACAAAGAAGACAGAAAACTCTTTCACTGCCCTCCTAGTTTACGTGGATGACATTATAATTGCAGGTAACTGTTTGAATTCTATCAATGTTCTAAAGGCCTCTCTACATAAGGAATTCAGAATTAAGGATCTAGGGCAGATGAAATTCTTCCTTGGAATCGAGGTAGCAAGATCAGATAAAGGGATACACATATGTCAAAGGAAGTACGCGCTAGATATCTTAGCTGATGCAGGTAAAATTGGAGCTGCACCAGCTCGTATCCCGCTTGATCAAAACTTAAAGCTTTCTAAGGATCAAGGAGAGCTTATCCCTGAACCAACGGTTTACAGAAGGCTAATTGGAAGGTTGCTGTATTTGACCATAACAAGGCCTGATTTGGCATACTCAGTCCAGCTGCTAAGCCAGTTCATGGATAGTCCAAGGTTGCCTCATCTTAATGCGGCACATAAGGTTTTAAGGTATGTTAAACGAGCACCAGGGCAAGGCATATTATACCCTTCACAATCAGTTTTACAAGTGACAAGTTATTGTGATTCAGATTGGGGGGCCTGCCAAGACACAAGAAGGTCTGTTAGTGGATATTGCGTTTTTATAGGTTCCTCTTTGGTATCTTGGAAGTCTAAGAAGCAAGGAGTTGTGTCCAGATCATCCGCAGAGGCGGAATACCGAGCAATAGCAAATCTGTGTTGTGAATTAACATGGCTAAGGTATCTCCTCAATGACTTGCAAATCAACCATCCACAACCAGCAACTATATTCTGCGATAACAAAGCTGCACTCCATATTGCTTCGAACCCTGTTTTCCATGAGAGGACAAAACATATTGAACTTGATTGCCACCTTATTCGAGACAAGATCCAAGATGGGAGCATTGTTACTGGACATGTCAGCAGTAGTAATCAAATAGCGGACCTTCTAACTAAGGCATTGAACTCGCGAAGTTTTTATTCTCATCTTCTCAAGATGGGAGTAGAAGATATATACTCTCCATCTTGCGGGGGGGTATCAGAAAATGCATATCATCATTTACCAGCAACATCATCAGCCTACGTGGAAGATGACTTGGAAGGAAGCAAGCTGGAATCAACAGATCAGAAGGAGCTAGAATATAGATGAAAAACCGATCCAACCTGCTGGGAGACAATTCTGTTGTAGGCACATGTTTAGATTCCTTTTCTGTATAGCATTTCTTCTCTTTCCTCCAGGCTGTTGTAACCATATTGGTAGAGGATATTCCTTTTGCTTCATGGTTAAATAGTGGACGCCTTTAGATTGTAAATCATCAAGTTTGGAATGCAATAAAGAATTCCTTCAAATCCTGAATTGTGTTTATTTTCATTTCTAAAATTTAAGCCAATTCTTATATTTGGCATAGATAATTTTGATCTTATTCCTCAAAATGTATTTAGCAGATATGTAGAGGCGGTAGGGATTCATCATTAGGCAACGAAAATGAGCTTGGTGAAAAACACCAGTCGCTAGAGAGATGGATGGCAGCAAAGCCATGGGCTAGCAGAGGAAGAGCCTCAACAGATCAAAGGGACTATGTTAAAACCGTTGAAATTGACGACACTCCACAACTATACTCATATTTAGCTCCCAATTTCCGAATGTCGAGTGCTCAACATCAACAAAGACCGAGTTTCTCTCTTCATAGAGCAGGAGTAACCCACCAAAATCAACTTCTGTATTCCCCTGTTAAACCTTCAACATCTAAAACAAGACCTAAAGTCTGCTCTGCAAGTCCTCATTGTGCAAGAGAAGAAAGAAGCTATTACATGGCTCAAACTACAAGCATAAGGTCAGATTACTATTATAAGCCGAAGGCACAACATATGCATGTGGTGCAATGCCTAATTACATGGCGGCAACTGAGTCTGCCAAGTCAGGGATCCAGTCATAGAGAACACCAAGACAGAGGCCATCAACACCAGTGAGGGAAAGAATGGGAGCAAAGAAGCGCTTATCGTACCCTGTCCCTGTCCCCTTCAACTACAATTTAGGGAATAGGGAATGGCTACGGAAGTTACAGGGGGCATAACTTAAGAAGTCCAACACCTGGTAGGGATTGAACAACAATACCAATATTCTTCATGCTATACAGGGAGTCTTCCAGGAGAGGTTCTCCATATTCAACCAGTGACCTTAGGAGATCATTGTTGAGGTGATTAGGCCACAATATGATTATGCACCAACCATTTCTGCAACTATGTAGATTTCTTCTCTTTTTTTAGGACTTCTAATTCAAAATTCTTATCTTATTATGGTCATCTGAATGAATATGGTAATTGTGTAACTCAACGTTATGTTTAGTCTTCAACTCTCAACCATGAGAATATATGTTAGGTTTTTAATGCAATTGGCAAGTCTGTGAACAAAAAAGACTAAATTTAATATGTTGTAAAAAAGTCAAAAAGTAAGCTACAAATAGTATAAATTGAGTTGTATTAGGTCTAGGGTTCAAGAATGGAAAAGAATGAAAAACAGCGTCGCAATTTCGATAGACTGTCACTATGACTTGGCTCGAGCGTCAGAAACAGAAACATTATCGCTCACCTGTCACCTTGCCTTCGCTTTGCTCGAGCGACAAACTGTCGCACGCCTATCGCCCAGCTTTCACTTGAGCGACGGGGTTATCTAGAGAATTTTTTAATTCTTTTTTTAAGGCTTTTTATCCGGCCCATTCATTCCAAAACCTAAACTATAAATACCAAACGCCTCTAAACATAAATTCTAAGGTTGATCATTGTGAAAACACATTCTCTTCATATTCTCTTCATCAAATAAACTTTCAACCTTCGTGCTGTGATTTGTTATGGGTGGTGAAAACATCAAATTCACAATCCAAATACCAAATTGCTACTTCCTACACATCTGTCAAAGTTCTGAAGATCAAGAAAGTTAACTAGAGTTCCAATTGTTGAAGAACGCGACGTTCTTAATTAATCCAAATGAGATAGACGAATTCATAAAGTCGGGAGTTGCTGCACAAGCGCGCAATCCAAGAGGGTTTTGAAAACTGCAGCTGGGAGTTGGTGCAGGAACACGAAATCCAGGAGAGCTGTGGGAATTGCAGTCAGGAGGTCAGAAAGTACTAGTGGTAGTCGAGTCTGGCGAACTGTAAGTTCTAATTCGTTTATAGTGGATTGTTGACTGGCAGTGTCCAGAGGTTTTACCTAGTTGGGGTTTCTCCGTGATCATTTCTTGTGTTTGTTTATTGCTTTCATATAACCACGTTATTTCAACATGGGAAAAAATTTGGACTGTTTGATTATCCATTTAGAGATAATTAATAGACTTGTTACTAATTAATTATTAAGGTTTAATTCTGCATAATCACTTATTCATCTCATCTAGGTGTAGTTTGGATCGAATCTCGTTATTTCATATGTAATAATTAGTAACAGTGAGTTTCTAAAATTCTTGTAACAAACACAATATTTTCTGCCAATTTTAGTCAAAAGCTAGACATATTTTAAAATTCTTTGCGCAAAGAATGCTCGATCTGAGGATTAAAATGTTGAAAGTGAAAGTGAGTTTCTAAAGATCTTGTAAATAACGCAATATTTTTCCACAACTTTTAGTCAAAAGCTAGACGTACTAAAATGTAATAAGAATTAATGAATTATGAAACTATTTTCGCGGAGAATAATGGACACGAGTATTCAAATGTCAAAAGTGAAAAGACTAGATAGAGACATTTTTGCACCAATTATCCAAATTTTTAAGATGAGAAATATCTCTAGAAACAATAAAATCATCTATATATATGTAGAATTTTCTGCTGAACTCTTTTCATGTAAACAAACTTTTTTTTCTCCCGTCACGCCCAACAGATTTCGATAACAAATATCTGCATTGTTAAAGATGGAACTTTCATAACAATGTAAATGCTTCTATAACATTAATTTGTGTTTAAATGTAGAAGAAACGGCAAGAACATGCTAGCCAAATTAGGGACACAACAGTGGATGGGAAAGAGCTTCACTCTTTGAGACAGTTCTCACTGAGCCCCAACGAAAAGAAAATTTGGGTATGCAAAGTCTTGCTCAAATCTTCAGTTCTCACTGAGCCCCAACGAAAAGAAAATTTGGGTATGCAAAGTCTTGCTCAAATCTTCAAATATAGTAACTGCTACTGTTTTCTCTTAGTTACGTGGATACGTTTACATATATACACACAGGCTTTTTGTGATTTGCCCTTTAATCATTTGAAAAATATTGAATGTAGGGGTTTTAAAGGATTTATTTGTCATCTGGGTTGCACTTAATTCATATGTTTCTTTTGAGATATCTTGGCTATGTACAGATAATTCTGAAATTTCGAATTTTTTAACCTTTTTTTTTTCATTTTGTTACTGCTACAATTTGATTTTGGGGCCTCTATTTCAGGGTGTATTTCATTTGATTTCATGCTTCTGAATGGTTTAGTTTTGTTTGTCGGGCATTAAAAAAAATAAGAAATAAAAACATTTTACTGTGGTTTGTTTATTTGATATAGAATTTTTGGCAAAAATTTTTGCTCTTCTTTTGAATTTTCTAAATAAGCTCATTTCTCCTCCCCACTCCCCCTTTTTTCTGGGAGGATCCCTTTTGCTTTCTGTGGCAATTTTTTTTTTGGTGGGCTAGGGTGTGAGATAAGTAGTTTGTTCTAGGAATCTAGAGGTTTTCTGATCACCAGAGGCCAAAACAAGGTTGATTTTTTTAGCTTGGCTTCTCGGAAATAAGGAAAAAGAAATTGGTGAATGGGGTTTCAGAATCAGTTCTGGCTTAAATTGGAATACTGTAAATTTTTTATCTTTTGAAATCTAACCACTACCAGGCGTATTAGTCCAATGATATTTTATTTTACACCTGATCTAGTAATATAACTGGTGCACTGGGAATGAATATCTCACTGCTACAAGCCTAAAAACCAAGAAAAGTGATTATCAAACACTTCAGACTTAAATACCTTTTGGCCATTATTTGTGCACTCTGCAGATGGTTATATAATTTGCTAGCTTCCATAATAATAATGTGAGCATGCAGATCATACCTGTGGACGGAAGGCTCAAATTGTAGTTAATGTGTGACAAAACTTGGATCAGAAAGCAATCATGGGAGAAAGCAGTGAAATTGAGGATCGAGTGGATCTTGATGATGACAATTACAGTGAAGAAGATGATGATATTGAAGAACCCATGGAAGATGAAGGAGATGGAGAAGGTGATGAGGAGAATGGTGGAGAAGAGCAGGAGGACATGAGAAACAGGGATAGTAGGAAAGATCAGTCACCGGGGACAGATAGAAGTAATAGTGGCAATGAGAGAGTGGAATATGAAGGAAAACCTGGTGCTTCAATTAAAGAAGGTGAAAAGGAGAAGCATGCCGAACTTCTTGCTCTTCCTCCTCATGGTTCTGAAGTTTTCATTGGTGGACTTTCTCGAGATATTTCAGAAGAAGACTTGAGGGAGCTCTGCAAACCCTTTGGTGAAATTTTTAAGGTCAGTTTTGTTCTAGGTAGAAAAAAAAGTTTTATAGATAATCATAACAACTAAAGCTTGAAGTGCTTTAAATACTATTCAACAATTTTCTATATACATCTGATAACAATAATATTGCAGATAAGAGTTATGAAAAATAGGGATACTGGTGAAAGCAAGGGTTTTGCTTTTGTAGCCTTCAAAACAAAAGACGTTGCACAAAAGGCCATCGAAGAGTTACATAGCAAAGAATTTAAGGTGAAATTTGTAACTTTTGTTTGGAACTGTTTTTAGGTATCATTAAGCCATGCAAATACCTAGTCTTATACATGTTCTATTGAGCTTTGGAAATGGTTCCAGTTGTTACTTTCTATATGTTTTCTGACTACAGGGCAGAACCTTACGGTGCTCACTGTCAGATGCTAAATACACATTGTTCATAGGTAATGTCCCAAAGAATTGGAGTGATGACGACTTTAAAGAAGTCATTGAAGATACTGGTCCTGGAGCAGAAACCATTGAACTCATAAAGGTCTGTTTTTTTACCTCTGGTGTTGAAATATTAGCATGCTATCAATTTTATATTGGCAGATTGATTTTCTTTAATTTGTGGCTTATTTCATTCTTTAATACAGGACCCTCAAAACCCAGGCCGAAATCGCGGATTTTCTTTTGTTGAATACTACAACAATGCTTGCGCTGATTATTCTAGGTTAAAAATGTTGACTGCAGATTTTAGATTCAATGGTAACACGCCAACCGTCACATGGGCTGCACCACAGATGACACTAAATCATTCTTCTGTTGTTGATCAGGTATTGCCTCAAATGGCTGAAATTTGACCACTTTCGTGAGGCCTTATTTAGTGGAGGATTCGATATTTTTCGAAATGCTTGGTCTGAAGTTTGCAGGAACATCCAACACTGTTGTCTGCATTTTGTGCATTGTGAAAGTGATCAGTTAATTAGGAATATCAGTGTGAGAGGTCTTTTACTCCTTAGACACGAAAGACACCCTTCGCATCTGGATAAGATAACCTACTAGTACAACTGCAGCACATTGTTTAGACGGTAGATTAGAATAGAAGAAAAAAATCAAACTTGCTGGCGATGAGATATTAGTGTAAATTTGACTACAGCTAGGTGTGGGGGAAAGGTAATATCACATTGTCTTCACATCTGCAATAGCAATATTTGCTTATTGCTGATGTGATCGCCATAAGTTGTAATCTGAAGTTCAAGTTTGCATCTATTTATAACAAGTGGTGATGGTGTTGTGAGTTTTATGTGCATGAAAGACCAAGTTCTCTTTTATGCTTATTCCACGTGTTGGCTTTGTAGATAGTGGCAAAGCCATGATTTTCAACGAGAGTGAGCGGTTTTAAATTTGCAAGGTTCATAAAAACCAAGGGTTTGTGGAGCTTAGCATCAGGTTAGGCATGGACGTGTTTAGACGTACATAATTAGACCAAATATCTATAAATTTACAGGGTCAAGGGAACATGAACAATCCAAGAATTCTTCTTCGTCAAGTTGAAATTAACTTCTAATGAATATTAATATGGTCTCAAAATAGCTGTCAGTATTTATTTTATTAATAGAAAGTAGACTGCCTTTGTAGCATGTGTCCATCCTAATTGGGCAGTCAACCAAGAAATAATTTTTTTTACTTAACTGTTTTCTGAACTCTTTTATTTTATGGATTTACATAATTGTTGACGTTCATCCTTCATTACTTATTAGGCAGATCATGTCGAAGTATATTAAACATATAGGATTGTGAGGGAAACCTGGGAACATGGAAAGAAACGAGGAATATTTACCAAACTTTTGAAATACCTCTGCTATCAAATTAGACGATGTTAAATTTGGTATCTTTCTCCTTCTAGTTTGTTCTAATAGATAGCATCATTCTAATGAGCGTGAACTTCTTTAAGACATGGTCAATTGTATCCACTTGTCCTCTTGTTGATGTCATGTTTCTATATCTTCAAGATTTGACAAAGTTTTATCTTTGGTTGTCTACCTACTGCAACCATCTTTTACGTGGGCTTGGGACTGTATGTAAAGAAATGTGGGCGGATTTCATATTTATAAACACCATTCAATCTATCTAACAGTGTTAGCTCAAAATTTCTCATATTGTAATTAAGTACCATTCATCCAATGTATTGCATGAGATGCGTAACAGGGCGAACTTAATTTCTTAGCATTTTGTGTATGGCCTTTTCGCTGCATGTGTACATACTCGTTCAATTACTGAGGACACCTGAGTGGAAAAGCTAGGCATTGGAAACAAAAAATGAAAAAAATAAAAAAATCTGCTAATCTGGCACTTGATTCAAATTATTCTTATGATATTAATTTCCTGATGGATATCATGTTAGACATGTTATAAGAAGACTTTCAAATTTTAGATTAGGAAAATTATAGATTTTCTAGTATTTTATTATTTATTTCCTACTTAAATTAGATAAGTTGAAACCTTTTATTCATTGTAGTAGTTAGACTTGATTATTGAATAAACTAACATTCCTCTCCCTAATAATTCTCCGTCCTCTCTGCGCCTCTGTTTGTCTGATTCATCTCCCTATCTCCCCCTCGTCTTCTCTTTCTCCCTCTCTTCCCCTTTTTCCCTCTTCTCTGCAAGTATCGTTCTTTGTTTGATTGTGTTTATGTCATTTACCTTCTCTCCTTGACATGTATGGGCTTGCCTTTTTGTCTGACCTGCTTTGAGCTTTTGAAAATGTTTTGTCTCAAACTTGTTGACATAAATGATTAGCTGTTTCTCTTGCTAAAATTTATTCTTGCAATAAAGCTTGATTTAATATCTTTTGTGGGACACTAGCGGCAAAATTTGAGAATTCTGTTTCATCTTATTTTGTTGTAAACAATATTGCATAATACCTGTTGCAGGATTACATTTATAACCTTTTTGATGCTTTTACAGGTCAAGGCTCTTTATGTGAAGTATATACCTGAAAATACACCAATTGAGCAAATAAAGTTCCTCTTCCAACGCCATGGGGAAGTCACGAAAGTTGTTATGCCACCATCAAAAGGTGGTGGAAAAAGAGATTTCGGGTTTGTCCACTATGCAGAAAGGTCGAGTGCATTGAAAGCCATCAAAGACACAGAAACTTATGAAATTAATGGTGTGTTCTTGCCTATTCACTGATATAAATTATCTTAATAAACTTATTATGATATAAAAAGAAAAATATCACCATGATTATTTTGCATCAGTTCATGGTTCTAGTAACAGGTGCTTTCATGTCATTCATTAACACTTTAGTAATGGCTGGAGGTGATCGTTCTAGAAGACTTAATATAACTTAACATCTTAAACTCATAAGACAATCATATAGTAAAATCTTAATTTCTTTAAAGAAACTGCCTTTGCCTGCCTTAAACTTTTTCCCCGAACTAATACTTCCTACACATGGAATTAAAGAAAATAATACGTTTGTTATGTATGGTCTTTTAATTACTGTTTCCCTATTTCTTCAAGGACTTGAATGGGACAGTGGACACTGAGAATTTTTATACTAATAGCTACTTCCATTGTTTATTGCAACTCAGATCGGTTTCTTTGTTCCAATAATGCACCGCTTGTATCTTGTCACATGGTACATATCCTTTTGTAGCCACTCCAAAAACTGCTTCAAATTTTTATTATGCATTACACGCAACTAGCCACCGAAAGGGGCTGCATACATAAAAAGGCTGATTCCCATCATCAACAGTCTCAACTTTTTTCCCCTTATAATCATTATTTTTTACCTCAACTATTACTGTCTCATCTTGTTGTCACCGTGGAAACCAAAGATAACAATTACTTGCAACTTTGGTGAAACAGCACTATCACTAGTAGTTCTTCTGGGCATTTTTCTTCATCCATAGCCACTGAATGCACGATAGGAACATACTTGATTTTATCTCCCGCAGTTAATGAAACCATAATTGCTTAGCTACACAATCAGCAGTAGATAAAAAGCATTGGTAGAGGATTACATTTTCTGTGATTTGATATTCGGTTATCTCACAACTTATACATTTTTTCACTTTGAGTTACCAAGAGAGGTTATTTCCTTACTAGCTTTGATTTGTACTCCTATCTCTGATGCATAGGAACCAATAAATCTTTGCGTTCACTTAGATTTGCTTTCAATTCTTTTTTATCCCAAATTTTATGGATCAATTTTCCTGCCAAATTATATTGACAGTATAAATTGCAGGTCAGGTATTAGCTGTCGTTCTTGCAAAACCTCAGACAGAGAAGAAGTTTGATGTGGCAAATCCTCACAACTCCACACCAATTTCTAATTATAATAATCATCTAGGATATGCTGGAATACCTGTTAATCCTTATGCCTCGGTAGCGGCTGGATATGGTGCAGCTGCCAGATTTCGGCAGGTAGGTACTTTACATCTTGGTTGTCCATAGTCTTTGATAATCATCTTTCTCTAAATTATTTTATATTATAAACTTGGACATTTGACAATTCAGCAGCCTATGATTTATGAAAGGGGACCAATGCCAGAAGGGATGCAAATGGTGCCTATGGTTCTACCAGATGGTCGAATTGGCTATGTTCTG